CCTCAGACATCACATGCTCTTCTACTACAGGATGCAAGTTTAAGATTCACTCAAAGCTATTGCTTTTTAAGTTAAGCAATGTCGAGATTAGGAATACCACATGCTGTAATCTTGGATGTGTAGGTGTTGTAATGAATAATGGCTCGTAATTGTTAATCGGAGAGCTGAGTTCCAATTCCTATTGCATTGATTATATTCACTTACATGCAAATACCCATATAAAATATATATGGGTTAATTAGTAATAATCTCACTAAACCATTATTATCTACAAAAAACAAAATTCTTACAATATTTTCTGGCTTTACCTGCAAAGTGTTGATAAGCCATAAAAAAATGAATCAATGAATTCTTGATTTTAATTCAAAGGCTTGTTGGCTGAAGACATTGTTATAAAAAGGAAAGCAACTAATGAAATGAGAGAAATAATTTGGGGATTGATCCAAAAATTAAATAAAATTAAAATCTTTAAAATTATTTAAAGTGATATTGCATTTGTCCAATTTTAAATTTCTTGCTTCTTAGTTCTGAAAACTAAAAATCAAAAAATTGCTTTAATTTATCAGAATCCTTCCATGAAGTTTTTTCTTTTGGCAAACATGGATAAACATGCCCACAACAAGATGGAGTATCAAAAAGATGTTTTTTTTTCCCATGACGTCTCTTTTTTTTTAACTATCTTCACTCTTCAGCAAATATTTATTATTTTAAAAACAATGATTTGAAATTGGAATAATGCTTAAACATATGAAAGTGAATTTATGCATTTTCTTTGTTCTTGAGAATTGACAACAAAATTAATGAACAGTATTCATTTATTAGATTGTTTATTTTATTTTTAATTTCATTTTTGTATGTACAGGAAAATATATATATATATATATATATATATATATATATATGCCATGTTTATGGACAATTATTATCTTAATTTTGTGAATACATCCAATAAAAGTTAACATGCAATAATGTTAAAAAACAGGCTAAACGATAAAATGTGATAATAGGGTTGAGTTTAAGTATCCCTGCCAAAAGAAAAGAAAAGAAAAAGTACAAATAAAATAAAAACGGCAAATAATTAAACTATACAATACTTAAGGAAAAGCGTTAGATTTAGGAACATTAAGATTACCTCCTCAGTTATCCATCGAAACTGCAATCCACCGAAATAAGAAAAGAAGCCAGTCCCCACCGCAGGCCATTTAAAAGATAGTTCGCGCAGCGGATTGGTTGTTACAAACATTTGATCAGATGTGCGGAATATGTGGTCTTTCTTCCTCTTATTCTTTAAAAAAGTCAGAGTAGCTGTTAGCGTTTAATTGGGAGGGAGAATCATTTGAAAGACCCAAAACTCCCTGATGAACCAAGTCAAAACATCACTGACGACCCCCTCGGGCGCCTACTTAAAAGCGTATTTTCGAATGAATACTGTTTATTATATTTATTGGAATGGTTGGCTAATTATCAAATGATTAAACTTTATAAAATGGTAAATAAGGATTTCCTTATAGTTGGTTGACATATTTCAATAATTTAGTAAATGTTTATAAATTTATGAATAAAAAAGATTTATTTCTTTATAAATTGGTAAATGTTATTGCATTAGTTCTAATTGTATTCTTTTTTAGAATCTTATAAATACAGAATTATTCTTGTAAATATACAATCTACTGAATAGTGTGTAATGTTTTTGTCATATATTCTAAAGAACAAAAAATGTATAAATTCACTTTCATATGTTTAGGTTTTATTACAATTCTAATCATTGCTTTTTAAAATAATAAATATTGTCAAGGGGTGTAAATAGTTAAAACAATAACAGTGTCAAGGAAAACAAAGTCCTTTTGACACACTGTTTTTTGTGGACATGAAGGTGAAAGATTGCCATATGTTATATTTATTTCAGTTTCTTATACCTATCTATTTTAGTTGTGGGATGAAAGTTAGTTAAAAAAGTGTTGTCATGAGAATAACTGTCCTTTTGACACTACATTTTATTGTGGACATGTTTATCTATTTTTTTCATGATTCATTTTTAAATAAGATTGTTGGATTTTATAACAATATTCTAGGTTGGATACCATCTGATTATTAAAGTAGTCTGAAAGATAATAACCTTTAGCAAAACACAAATTCACTTTTCATATCACAGGAAAAAGTCTGAATCACACAGCTTGATTTAACAGCTACAAAGTATTGGTCCTAGAAACAATTATAAAACTAGTGAAAAATTAATACTGAAAATACAAAATTCATATAACTTCACTTTCTCACAGAGGCAACATCCCAAGTGTGTCACTACTCAATTGATGTTTCCCTAAATAATGTCCATACAAGATCCATTTTTTTACTTCCATCAATTCAGGCCTTTACAATTAAAACCTGCCATGGTGTATCCCCAGAGTCAAAATAGCCTCACTCCATCCATATTCTAATTGTAAGGAGGAAGTCCTACTCACACAGCTTTTACTAAATAGCTGCTGTTTATTAGAACAGACTACTGCATGGATGTTTCCCAAAACATTAAAGTCAAGAGTCAATTGTTACTTATCCTAGCTTTTGAGAAGTGTTGAACCACCTCTTAATTGCTGTTGTTCCCAGGTCCACACTCACATGGGTAACAATTGCTATGGTCCCAGCTATGGGCAAATAGTAAACCCCATAAACAAAACACTTTGAAAGTGTAAAAATACTTTTTATAGTAAAAACACCAGAAATAAATTTTTATATAAAAAACATTGACAACAATACATTTCATAGCAAAATGACCAATAATACATTTTATCAGTAGTTTAAAAGACACAATTGCATTCAAAATATATTTAGTTAAAGGAATATAATTGTGTTCAAAATATATTTAGTTAAAGGAATATAATTGTGTTCAAAATATATTTAGTTGAAGCAATAAAATTGTGTTCAGAATATTTAGATTTTGGCATTAAATAATCCATAGAGGTTAATATATTTGCTAAACCAAATCAGCCAACCAACTGATTTCAAAAATATAATTTAAAAAATATATATATACAACCATAACAAACAGCAATCTTACTATTTAAAATAAGTTTTTGACTTTTTAAATAAAAGACTTTATTTAGAAAAATAAATTTTGGCAATAAATGACCCAATCAGTTGATATGGTGTAAAACAAACCAAACCTCATTCAGTAACCCTCTACCTTGAGTGGCTCTTGAGCATTGTACTGGGGGATCTCTAGTAAATAATATATAGCCTGAATAACTGGAAGAGAAAGACTAACAATATGACTTTCGATTTCAGCATTGGCTGTTAGCTTCTATGGCAGAACAGTTTAAGATGCCATCCATTTAGATGCCATCCATATTCAAGATATGGAATGAAAGTCATCAGTCTTGTTCGAAACTACTTTCTTATTCGGTTTCATGCTTTAATACAGTTGTTTTTTGTTTTTTTTTTAAAGTTCTGAAATTAAGTGCCTTCATTTTCTTTTTTAGTTGTTATAAATACATTTTTTAAGATGGAGTATCCTTAGGTCAGGGATGTTTCTGATCTATTGAAATTTTTATGTACTCTTCTTTTTTTTCTATTTTAAATCTTTTCATTCAACCAAGGGAACAAAGTTACTAAAGATGCAAGGGGTTACTGAGAGTGAAGAGAGAGAATAGAACAGGATTCAAGGAGACAGAAGATGATTCTTGATTTAAATTTTGAAGATCTTAATTACCAGGAAAGTAAAAGCTGGAAGAGAGTTCCACAACCAATCATAGAACTTATGTTTACATCTTGCACTTTCAAGAGTAAAATGAGACTTAATTGTCAATCTATTAGTACTAGTAGTACTGCACTTAAAGATGTGAAGTCAGGATACCAAAGCAAAAAATTACCATGAAAATATTTATAAAAAAGGCACAGGAAAGATAAATTATGGTAGTAGGGAAAAATGACTGAAGCTGAGATGCCAATAACATTGCAGAATTGAATTGCATCAAGAATCTTAAGATAAATATCAGAAGAACGTTTAAGTGAATTCATTAGAATGTATCCCCAAAGACACAATGTTAATAACAGTAATGGCAAAGACAATAATCAAAATATGCAGTGTCATTTCAGGACATGGACAATCATAGTTCTCTACAACTTCCTATCTTTTGTAGTACTAAGAATATTTTTCATCTTACTATACCTGTTCTGCCATCCATTTATACAAGCGCATTAAGTTACACACTGTTTCCTTTTGCTTCTGTTGCCTTCAATATGTCCCATGAGCATCAAATTCTCCAAGCCCTCTTTCCTCATTATGTGTCCCCTGAAATTTCAACTGTCTCTTTCTGATTGTATGTGTCTCCTTTTCATTTCCCATTTTCCTTGAAATTATTTTTAACAGTTGAGAACTTTTTTTATAAATACTAGACAAATAATTTTTTTTTTTTGTGACTTTTTCACAAGAGACAAGTTTTGCAGTAAAACATTAAATATGCAAATAAATATATATTTAACTTTTTTTTATCTAGAGTAATAGGTAGGCTCACATTATATATGAGATTTCATACATCAATAAAGGCTTATGGCTATATCACATTGAAACACCAATTCTCATCCAGTCATGTGAGTTAAGCAACATTGAATCAGGTCAGTACCTAAATGGGTGATCACTTGGGATGAGCAAGTGTTATGGCTTGGATTGTGTGGATGCCGTAATGGATAATGACTCAGAATTGTTAATTGGAAAGCTCAGTTGTATTTCTAGTTGTGTTTGTTATATTCAGTTATGCACCAATTCCCATTTTCCTTAAAACATTCTATTTTTTTTTTATATCTCTATCCACGGTATTCGCAGCATCCTTGCCTGAAATAACATCTCTATTGCTTCAAGGCTCACCTTCATCTCTGGGGAAATTGTTCAGTATTTTCTGCCTTATAGGAGGGTTGATATTACATAGCAGTTGGGCACTTTTGTTTTATAACAAATACTAGACAATGTTTTAAGTGGAAAACCCGTTTTTGATTTTTGATCATTTCAGGTCCCTAATCTCCCCACTTATGTGACCAGTTTGTTTTGATCATTTCTAAGTGGCTATTTATTACCATCAGCAATGCTGGAAAATGAGGAGCAGAGTGATAGTTCTGACAGTGATAGTATACAGCACAGTGTCTCAGAAACCAGTCAGAAGAAAAAGAAACGAAAGAAAAATATTATCACTGCCAATCTATCTGCAACACGTTATAAACTTGGTAAGTTCTGTGTATTTTAGTTTACATTTTTATTTTTTCTTATTTCTCCATGAGTACCTGGATCAAGTGATATACATTATTGGTTAAATGCTACAATTAACTATTTGCCACTAACTCCTTTGTGAACGTCCTCCATGATGTAATATTTCAAGCAATGAAAGATCAAATATCTAGATGTTTGTACACATATACGCAAACTCTTATATACAAGAAGACACTGAAAAGTTCCTGGCAGTAAGGCTTCTGATCAGGAGATTGGAGGTTTTGAGGAGCATGGAACCATCTCTTAATAGCTTTTGTTGACAGGTCCACCCTGAACTGGGGTGGTAGCACCTGTTAGGGTCCTAGCTATGGGCAAATAGTGATCCCTCCAAACAAAAATGAAACATTATGAAAGTATAAATATAAATATTTATAGTAAAATTACCAATACCTATTTATAGTAAAATTACCAACAATACATTTTATCTAGTTGAAGGCATACAATTGTAGTTAAAATACATTTAGCTGAAGTCATAAAACTGTGTTAAAAATATTTAAATTTCAATATTAAATAACCTATAGAGTTTGATAGGCCACTAAGCAAAATCAGCCAGCCTAACCATCTTATTTTGGGGAGTGGATTGTGCTTAGAATTTTTGATTCTAGTCCTTTTTACAGCAAACATATGCAAGTCATTTTCCTATCACAACTGGTTTTTCAGTAACTGCAAAAAATTTGTTGGCTGCTTGCCACAGGAAAGAGACAAACCATTTATATCTTCTCTTTCCCCCTCCCTCTATCTTTCTCTCTTCCTTCCAACTCCTGCCAAAAGAGCTTCACATCCAAAGGGAGATAACCATCAATCAAAACACTATTGCAACAGTTACAAAACCCATTAGGTGTGTGCACATGTGTGTGTATATATATATATATATACATACACACACACACACACACACATATATATATATATATATATATATATACATACATATAAGAGAAGATGACTTACCTTGTGTGGCAAAGCGAGAACATATATGTCTGGCGTGCAAAACGAGTGAAGAAAAGGAAAAAGAAATATGGCCACCCCAACACCTTAATTTAAGAAAGACATGGTCTCAGAGCTAGGAGAATTGGCAAGAGTGGTTGGGATTTGCAAATTTCTTATGAGATCAGCTTAGAATAAAAAACGCCATAAAGAGAGAATAGACAGTTTGCATATGATCATGGTGCTGCTTGTATGGAGAGACTTTGTCAGTTGGAAAGAAATTACTTGGGTCAGTTTCACACAATGTATGTGTATATATATATATATATATATATATATATATATATATATATATAATGTAGATAGATTGACAGTTAAAACAAGACATTTTATATCAGTTATATTAAAAATGTCTTTTCTAATATCTTTTGCAGATGTTTAAAAGAACAATTGCTGCTCAAATAAAAAATATATGCACACACACACACACACACATTAAATAAAAAATATATGCACACACACACACACACACACACATATATATATGGATGAGTATGTGTGTGCTAACATGAAGTCAATTGTCATTGTGATCAAAAGTTTTGAGTGTATTAGCCTTATTCAGCTACTGACTCTCTCCCAGAAAACTGTAACTCGGGTCTATTCAGCATAGTTGAAGAATAAGCCATAGGTTGACTCTATATGTTGAAAAAATACAAACGTAATTGAGCAGGTATCTGCAAGAGGGATTAGTTAGCCACCATAGCATATGTGCTAACTTAACAGGTATCCAGCTTAGATATATATATATATATATATATATATATATATATATATATATATATATATATATATAATGTTATGAACTTGTAGTATATAGGTGAACCATGGGTTTAAAAAAGTAAAACGTGGGATTTTATCTCGGTCTTCACTCAGGAATGGATGCAACACAAGGGAGTCAACAAAGAACAGACGCAAGACAATAGATTTCAAAATAAAACATTTATAAATACATAAACAGGTAAAGAAAGAAAATTCATTTAACAAAGGAGAAGAAGATCATGAAAAACAGAAGGTGCAAGTGAATACATACATATGCGTAAAAAAAGATCAAGCCAAGAGAATCAACTTATCTGTCAATCGAGTTGATATTTCCACACAAAATTCTGATTTGCCAAAGTGAGAGTTCTCATTTGGTTGGCTGGCAATTTTGCTGGGTTCCTTTTCATTGGTCAATTCAGTTTCATAGCAGTCCTTTCATCTCTAGTCAACAGACTTTGCCGTCTTCATTTCAGTTTGCAGTCCATTTGGAATCGGGATGATTTACCTAGCGATGTTCATCTGCCACTGGTCAGACAGGAAACTGAAAAATCCTTTTTAGATTTTTGCTGTCCCCAAAGACAGTCATGTGGGTTCTCTTCGTCCTTGACCGGGTACACAGGAGGATGGTGCGCAAATCACAAAGTGATTGTGTGATGGCCAAAGTTTCAATCACCACTTAGTAGGGTCTGATCACGTGAAGGATGATGATGCCTGGAATTCACTTATGGTCAACCACCTGATGGCCACGGGATTTTGGAACCAGGTCATTCTCGTGTCAGGTTGCTTCAAAGTTCACGGGATCTTGACTTGTGGGTGGAAGAGTAGGTAAAGAGGGAAAGAATTTGTGAAGAGAAGAGAAGGGTATGGCTGATCATAGGACATATTCGCTCACAAGTTGAAAGCATTGGATTTTATCTATTTTTTATTTATTTATTTATTTATATCAAACTAATTTTCGACTAGAATTTGGGATTTTTCTTTGGGTTGCTTTTGAGCCTTATGCCTATATGGTTAATGAAATTGTAGGTACATCACAAATATATATATATATATATATATATATATATATATATATACGCATATCATCTTATAAATAAAATATCCACTAAGTAAAAAAAAAAAATAAAAATATATATATATATATATATATATATATGACAGGTAGGCATAGAAAGCATAGAAAGTGACCTAAGAGAATAACCTGTATGTAGTCAAGCAAAGACATGAGCAAATCCAGAAAGTGTGCAAAGAAATGAGACTTTAAATTTTGCTGAATTCTGATCTCTTACCTAAAAAAGATTATCAAAAGCCAATAGACATTTTAGGAGGGGGGGGTGTCTTTTTTTTTAAAAAAAAAAAACTTTCAATTTATTTACATTTCAGAAATAAAATTTCCATTTAATTAATTTTCACATTATTTTTTTTTTCAGTTCACAAAGTTGTGGAGGATTTAAATTTTCATATAATCAATGATGACACTGTACCCAGGTAATGTGCTTCTAATTTTTTTTTTCCTGACATTCTGTGGTGAAGCATTATTATTACTACTTGATTTACCCAAACAAGTGTCCTCTTCTTTCATGTTTAACAGCGATGATTTAGCCAAAATGCTTTCCAGTCTTCCTCATATGTACATTCCATTATTGCATAAATGACTATTTTTACTTTCACCACATTTTTTTTACTGTTAGTTCACCCAATACAAGTCCTGAGAGCCACTGAAGGCTCAAGGGTTACTGGAATAGGGTTGTCTTGCTACTGTGAACATGATATGGCAGGTCCTAGCTGTGAAAGTTTTACTGGTGGATCTAAAGAATGTAACTTGTCTGAACATCTGCCATAGTAACAGCAATAGGGTAGTGAGAGACTACCAACAGATTGTCTGTGGGGTGAGGATTGCAGGGTGAAGAATGAAGGCCATGTAAGTGCTTTTGAACAAGGCTGGATAGTGAGGACTAGGCACCACCAGACCAGACCAGATATAGTAGCAATATTCCATTCTTGATTCGATCTGACTCTTGTAGAATTAGAGCATGGCTGCAGCTGTTAGATTCAATACAATTCTTCCAGCATTTTTGCAATGGCACAAATGTATACTGAATATATGTTCCATTTGAGGATGAGAGTGAGTTTTAGACCCAGTAGGTATATATGAGGAAAGGAGAGCCTTTTTTGAAGGTATGACCACTCATCAGGTTTGGTTTAGGTCTGCTTGGTGGTGATGCAATGTTACTCGTTAGTTTTGGATGTATTAAAGGTCAGAAGAGAGATCAGCTGCCAGGCATTGGTCAATCAAAATGAGAGATTTAGCTTTTATTTCTTACATTTTTTTTTTCATTTTTTTTCTTCAAAAACAATAAATTAGTAATAAGTAACATTAGAAACTTCTGAAGAAATAGTATTCTCTGCAAAATCTTATTCATCAATACACGGGATGTGAGGTTTGCATAACAGATATTGGCATGGAAAATAAAATGAGTGAGCCAATTTCAAATTTTGGTCAAGTCTGTTGTATTCACTTTTGCTCTAATGCCTTTTGGCAAAGGCATGAACCCATCTCTTCTCCAGCTATGTGTTAAATAGTGGATTAGACTGGGATTTCTCTAGCATTATATGAACAACTATGAATTCCAAACTGTAGAGAAGGCAATGGGAAACCACTCCACTATCTTTCCCAAGAATGCATGGAAATTTACTAATAATAAAGAAAAGAAATCTGCAGAGAATCATGATCACCAACATCCAGAAGGATGTTTTCTTTTTTAAATCAATATATAAGGAAAGTTTTCATGAATTAGATGGCATCTTTAGTTACTTACAATATTGCTGAGATTAATACTGAATATCACATTATTCATGGTTCTATGTTTACTATCTTACACCAAGTTATAAAGAAGTAAAATATTAGTTTATGATTATTATATACTTTGCTATTCGGACTAGCATACTCATCTTATTTGTTATACTCACAATGTTTCAGCCATACCCTCCTGCCTTTTTCAGGTGTCTGTTGTCATACTCAATAGCATTTTGAACCAAACTCTTCATTCAATTCATAGGAATTGAATGTTCTTATTCTGCTTTCCATGCTTAAGGGACATCTCAGATCCCTTAATATTTACAAGAATTATTCACCTTTGTGCCATTCATCAGTTTCTTTGACTGAACTAAATTATATGACTTTTTAACATGACTAGACACAGTGATTGAACTCACAACTGCCAGTGAACCAGGTACCTTTTTAACCAGTTTTCATCAACTAAGTCCTTTGGACAATCCAGTGGTGAAATTTTGGATTGAATAAAAGATTCAAGGCAAAATTCCAAGGTTACCAAGCATAACATCAGATATCTGATGAAGGCTGGAGTATATTACAGCCAAAATATTGGGAATATTACAGCCATGATGAGATGCTGGTCCAAATAACAAAGTATATAATAATAATGATGGGTCCTCCTCTCAAAACTTCCAACAAAAATTAAGTTTTGATTCTGAAATAAAATGTCTTACATTGTTATTTACTAAGACTTACTTAATCTGGCACAAGGCCTCATGTGGTTTATAGTTTTTACTTTGAAGAAGAAGAAGCCACTGTACCCACCTATCAGATACTTTTACATGGTAGAATTCCTCATCTTTATCCTTTGTAAGTGACCCAAATATTCAAGTTCAGGGTTTGGAGTTTCTAAAATCATTTTAAGCAGTTAAACAGTAGTGGTGTTGTCTATAATTTTGACAAAATTCATTAATCTTCCAAGAGTTTCTTAGACAGTTGAACTCTTTTTATTTATCTTCTTTTTTTTTTTTTTTCTTTGTTATTCTCATAACATTTCAGATGTTCCATTTTTTAATCTTCTTTAGGTTCACTATCCAGATGGAAAGAGGGGGGTTGCCTTTTTCTGGTAGAACAAAGAACATATGCACTTATCAATTGGTAAAATATTAAATAATTATTAAATAAGCTGAAAATAGGATAGTTTTTATTGCATGTATTGGTGTGAAAGTTTGAATGTTTTTGTTTGTACTAATGGCAAAAATGTCCTTTGTTTTTTATATGCTTAGTAAAAATATCTTTAGAATAGATGGCTAACTTTACTCTTTCTAAGTTTCTGGAATGGAGAGCTACCATTATTTAAATTCCGACTAATATCATCATCTTTGTTGTTGTTTTCCACTGTTGTGTGGATTAAAGTGTTGGTTTGTGATAATAAATGTGAGTTCTACCACCGGGTCAGCTAGTACAGACTTAGACTCTGTGTGGACACAGGATGAGAAATAACTGAGCAGTACTCAAAAAGCACAAGACAATCTTATTTCATAGATTAAATGAAAGGTAAATACTAGAGATCAGGAAAAATATAGTGTGAGCCACATTAAAAAAAAAAATTTTGTTCTCCACTAAAGAAAAATAAACAATAACATTTTTTTTGGTTAACTGCTTTTTTAACTTTTCACAAGAGACAAGTTTTATAGTAAAACACAGCTTACATTAAATATGCAAATAAAATATATTTAACTTTTTATCTACAAGAATAGATGAAGCTCACATTATATATGAGATTTCATACATCAATGAAGTCTCAGGAAACATCAATTCTCATTCAATCATGGAAGTTAAGCAACATCAAATCTGATCAGTACCTAGATGGGTGACTACTTGGGAATACCCAGTGTTGTAAGCTTGGATATGTGCGTGGTGTAATGGATAGCAACACAGAATTGTTAATTGGAAAGCAGAGTTTCAATTCTAGCCATGTTTATTATATTCACTTATTTATTGCACAAATACCATTGGGAAAGGTATGAATTCACCTCTTCTCCCGCCCCCAGCAATAGGTTAATTAATAAGACTTCTACCAGTAAATTATTATTATGCCCCAAAACTTCTTGCAATCTAAAAATATTTTCTGCTTTTAAACAACCTACCAAAGGTTGATAAGTCATAAAAAAAACAAATCAATCATACATGAATAAATACAATTAGAATTTTTCATTCTATTTATATCCTTTTTATGCTGGTCTAGCAAAACCTTGATACGTTAATGAACTAGGTCTGAAGAAGAACTAAATAAACAATCATAGTGTATGTCTGATATATAATAATTATTATTTTTGTTCATTTTGTGTGTGGTTGTGTGTGTGTGCATACATTATGCTTTCGGTGTCTAAAATACTTAACAGTAGATAGGGTATAATATTCACACCATTTCTCTATATTTAAATGCTGATAAACATTTATCAAGTATGAGAATAAATAAAAGAATCAGATTCTTGATAAAATACAAAGTATCTGCAATATTATTAGTTCTGACCTGGCATCTTGGCTTAAGTTACTTTTCCATCAACATAACATAGCTTCCCTGTGCCTTTTCTATAAATACTTTCATGGTAATTGTTCTGATGAGCTTTCCACTATGGTTAGACTTTATGAATTTAAGTGCAATACTAGATTGGTGTCTTGATCTTTCATTTTATAGTTGAAATGACTAAATGTAATTGTAAGACAGTTTCTTCTCTCACACTTCTCACTTGTGAAACTCCCTTCCAGCTTCTTGTTTCCCTGCCAAATTTGATCTCCCAAAAATTTAAATAATTTGTCAATCGTTATCTTCTGTCTTTCTAATTGTTGTTCTTTTATTGTCTTCTCTCCTTAATAGTATATTTTTGTCATATTCTCTAACACTCAGTAACCACTTGCATCTTAGTGCCTTTATTACCTTGCTTGGGGTGAAATGATTAAAAAAAAAAGTGACTCACTGCTAAGTGCTTACCAGCAATATACAAATGATTGTGGGTTCAAATCCTGCCAAATGTAAATTTGGGGAAATTCAGAATATCAGAATAAAGTATAACATTTTTAATTTCAGACATAATATAGTCCTAGACTCTTCATTTCTGAGCCAATCATTGATTGAATAGAATAAAAGATTATGTTTGAAAAAATGAAAATTTAATGTCAATAAAAATATACTGGCTACATCATAAGTTGAATATTATGGAATAAAATCCAAATTTGTATGAAAATATATCTTGTCCCTTGGAGCAATGTTGTGGGAAATTTAATGACTCCCCCAACTCTATAGCAAGAAAGTGAATAGAGGATTGCTAAAAACATATTCGTTTAGCAGTTAAAAGTCATGGCATCGGGGTGGGGTGTGACATCCAAATACATATGTTTGTTTGAAATATAGATGAAACACTTAACTGAATGGTGTTCATATTCCACTTCCATTAGCTGCCTGCCCTCATATTATTCAGGTTTACCCATGGCAAGCATTGCCTGTTCTGAAAGTAGGCTGAAAACACATCTCTTTTGTTTGTAGTCACCCCAGTCTCTTAAAATTGGTGTCCAAATTCTAATTTGCACCTAATTTTGGGTCATACTGTTTATTATCAGATGAAATGAGTCTGACCTATTATCAGCAGGAGTTATCTACCAAAGGGAGATAACCTATATTTGGTTTAAATTGGTTTTTACCTTTAAAACT